CCCGGTTTTGGGTTCCCCCCCCCCCCCTCCCGGGTTTGGATTCCCGGGCCCCTCCCCCCCCCCCCCCCGACGGCGAAAATCTGTCAGGTTTGCCTCGCTCTCGCTCTGGAGCTGCAGGACCGAGGCTTACCTCTACCCCGGCGTGTGTTCCTGGACGACTATCCTGCTCCCACGGATAAGGTCGTACAGCGCCCTCGTGCAGTGAATGAGGACTGTGAAGTTTGCTACGGTGATATGAATAGGGATAGGAGTTGGTGTGGCGTGGGGTGGTGCTAACCCTCTACATTGACTGTCTTCGCAGTGTACGGTAGCAGTAGCTCTTCGGCTTAGGGTTAGGGTTACCACGACTCGGCGTATGACCTAGCTACTACCACTCAGCCCATCGCTCCACCGCGCAAATGATCGTGTTCACCGCCTTCCCTGCTCCCCACAGCAGGTCGCCGGTGGCACAGTGGATGGTGGTGGTGCCTTCTCGGAATCGCTGCGAGCATTCGTGGAGGAGAAGACGACGATCGATGGCACCGGCTTGACATGCCCAGTCACCCTCCTGACTCCCTCGGGCAGGGCTGTCGGACGTGGTGAGAGTTAGAGAAAGAGCGCCCGTTGATCTCGCCGTGTTTTTCTGTGGAACGTGGAACAGAGTACGGTACCTTACCATAGTGTACCGTTGTGGAATTCGTGTTCAGGATGGCCGTATCCGGTGGTTGTCATTGGCTGGCTTTGTTTTGTACCATGCCATACCGTGTCGTTGCGGATTTCGGGTTGAGGATGGCCGTATCCCGTGGTTGTCATTGGCTAGCTGTGTTTTGGCGGGGACGATGCTTTTCCGGTGTACCCGTCGTCCGTGATTCGTGTGTGCGTGCCCCCGTCGGGAGCAGCACTCGCCTTAGCACTTTACGTCACATTGAACAAGAGAGAATACCCGCACAGTGCGTAACGGTGATGATGACGGCGGGCAATGAGAACGCTCAGACGTGGGTGTGGGTATGAACACAACTCACCAGGTGGGCGGGTGTCTGACCCCATCGGAAACGCTTTCGCGGGATTGTTTTGACTGTTCTACGGTATGAAAGAGAGGAGGGTGTTTCATGTACCTGTCCCTATCCCTATAAGCCTACCCGGAACCCCACCCCGTTCCACCAAGACTACCACCCCATCGGGGTGTTTGTGGTGCTCGGGGAGGGATGCTGTCATCGAAGTATCCCCTGACGGTTATCATCTGCGTGCCCCCTCCATCTTGTCAAACGACACGTGTCGCTTGTTCTTTTATTTACTATCCAGCCGAGATTGAGCGACTGAGTGGAGCGGTCCTCGGAGACATCGAAACGGCTCTTTTTTCCGAACCTCGGGATGGGGACAAGACTGATCTCATTAAGGTGCGACCGTGAGATTAAAATTTCCCTGTTTTGAGAGAAATTATTCGCCGTCAGAAAAGCAGGGTGTGTCGTCGTCAGCAGCAGGGCTTGAACCAACCTTGCAGGAGTAGGAGTTGGTTGCCTTTATTGCACCGCTCCTTCTCAGACCGACGCATCCAGAACGCAGGGTTTTGGCATGAACAAGGACAAGAAGGCGTATTCCTCGAAAGGTCAAGTCACATGCTCTCCTCCCCCGGTTCGCCTTCTGTCTTCTGTTCTGCTACAAGACTGTGGACGGTGTGCTAGGCGACGATGCGAACAAGTCTCGACAGGAGTCGGTCAAGCTGGTGGACCAGTGGAACTCGGCCACACAAGACTACCCGAACAAGTCCTGCCTCCACGACATGTTCAGGGAGTCTGCCAAGAAAAACCGCGACGCCACGGCTATCGTCTACAAGGCAAGTTTGAGTTTGTGCGCCCCAGTCGCTGTTGCTGTGACGCCCGGTGCACGTATGGAGTAACTATTACGCTGGCTGTGTTACCTCGCGTGCATGAAGACGTCGGTTTCTTGGTGCTACCTAGCGTAGAGGTTCGTGCAGAAGCGTGCGCGTGTCGGTTGAGGGGTTGTTGCCTTGCGTCGTCTGGTGATGGTGATGGTGCGGGTCGCTGTTACAGTTTGTCTTACGCCGAGGATGATCGGGTCAGTACAGTATGCCGGGAACGCGGAGAGAATGGTTGGATGGCAGCCGTGTTTTTTTGTCGTTCACACGCTGCCACAGCAGACGTGCGTGTGCGATATTTTTTCCAGATTGATTCGCGAAACCGTCATTCAGGCGAAGGGGAGGGGAGTGGTCGGCGAATCGAACTGACGACGAACACTCCCTTCGGGTGTTCGTGTTTTTCTCCATCATTATTTTTTTTGTCATGACTTTTCAACACCTGCTTTCGTCTTTTGCCTCTCTTGCATTTGCAGTTTAAGGCTCTCGGATCGTTTCTCCCCAAGTGCTCTGGGCTTTGTTCTCTGGGTACATCCAATTAAATATTTTGGTTGTACCTGCTGTGACGATGGATTTTCATTCGTTTCCTTGCCTTGATTGGAAAAGACGGTGCGGAACTGGATGTAGCGGACACAAAAACCAGCATTCATACGCTTCCATGTACGTGGAGGACAAGAACATACACACGCTTCCTCGTACGAAGAAACACAATTATGTAATTTTGGAAGAGGGTGCAGCACCACAGTGATTGTCTTCGTCTTTGTCTTCACTTCGTGTTCGCCTGCACAAACCCTACGTATTTGGCCTACAGCACCAAAAAGCTAACCCTGGACCCTTCTCGTAACTTGTCTATACACTACACTCAATACTCCCCTCTTCGTATCCGTCCATGAACGCGGATCGCCAGGGCGCTTCGTTGACGTTCGGAGAAGTGGACGATCTCACCGATGCTCTCGCCGGATGGCTCTACTCCAAGGGAGTCAGGGTCGGGTCTACCGTGGGCATCTTCATGGACCACCGGACGGAGTTCGCCCTCGCCTACATCGCCGCCCACAAGGTAGGTACCTACAGAGCTAGCGCATGCGCCGTCGCGCCCCCGCTAGTTTTGCCGACATCACCAAATGTTTTCATTGCACGTGCCACCATCCGGAAGCCCTAGTGATGTACGAGACACTGGCGTGCGTAGCATGTCCCACGGGCACCGTGTCGGTTGGGCGGTGCATTAATGTTGCCCATTTTCTTCTCACCTGGCCTTTTGTGTTTTTTTTCGTGGGAGATTCATCATGTCACGTCATGCGCGTGACCAATCTTAATCAGCAAGGCGGAGCTTCGACCTGTGTGCATGAATAAGACTACGGCACAAATCGACTGCCGCGTGCTACCCTAACGCTCAGGCGTTTTATGGGCGTCGTAGGCGCAATTTCCTCTGTCGGCGTGTCATCCATCTCGTCTCTGTTTGTTCAGGTACGTGGGGCAAGGGCCAAATGGCGGAAATGGGGACCATTCTCACACACCACTGTTCCCTCTTCGAAAGTGAAAGAGTGACCCCCCCCCCTATTGTATCGCCCCGGTCTGGTTCCATTTCGGATGCGCGAAACGGTTGCTTAAAAAAACATGAAAACAGGCGACTGGGGCTTACATGCCGCTGGAGCTGGTTTATCCGGCGGACCTCCTGGAAGGGGTGATGAAGCAGGTCAAGCCCCCCATGGTCCTCACGCAGGTGCGTTTCTTGGGCTAGCGATGTACGTGCACCTCCGCCATCTTCCCTTTCGTCCAGCCATTCAGCCATGAAATCCCTTGTCTCACGTAATTGTCGGGCGCGCGTCTCAGGAGGGGATTGGGCCTTGAGTGTTGTCGTTGCCTTTGCTTGCCTCAGGCCCTGCGTTGGGTCACTTTTGAGCTTTTGGAGGGTGCGGAGTCATGCTGGACTGCATGCGTTTCCCTTCCCAAAGTGTGGTTTACTATCCTACGCTGGTGTGTAGTCTGCATGAAGGGTATGAAGGGCAGACAAAGCCTCGTAGTTAGCTTCACCTTTCCTTGTGTTCCTTCATGACGACCTTTACGTTATGGTGTCTTGTCTTATCCTCCCGTCAAACAACCGTGTTTTTTCCTACGTAAGTCACAGTCTTGCTTTCCGAGCTACATCTGTTGCGATTGTCGCGTGTCCCAGGACTGTGCCCCCCCGTGGTCCTGTCTTGTGTTGTCGTGTGATGTGACCTCATCAAAGAAGTTTAAGTCGTAGTGGCACCGCTCAGTTGTCATCTTGTCTTGGCTTGGTGCATGCCAAGCCACCGGGACCCCCTCGCCGATTAGGCTTTCACTATCACGGCAGAGCATTATTTGGTGTTTGTTACCCGTCGTACGCATACGTCCTGGACGGCTGTAAGTTCTTTTGACCTATGGTAGAGGCAACTTTTGCTTTCTTTCCTGACGACTCGCCGCGTTCTCCTCCCCCCTTCTACCATGGTTGGGTGTACCTAATAGTCTACATTTGTTTTTCGTTTGTATCGCGTTTCTTTCTGCTGCACCCACTCTGATTCTTCCCCCCGCACCCACCCCCGGTTTTCATGATACCGCTGTACGGATGGCGTTTTCATGACACTACATTTTATTACTATAATAGTCGAGCGTGGTGGATCGTCTGCCCTCTTGGCAAGCCACCCTGTGCATGGATGATGACGGGGAGTGGATCAAGACTGCCAGGGAAGCTCCCCCCGTGCCGCAGGATGCCGCGTTGCCTTCGCCGGACGACCTCGCTTACGTTGTTATGAGGTATTGATGTGCGACTGTAGGGTCTTGTCCGGTCTGAAGTACTGATGTCCTACTTGTATCTAAATTCCGCATGCATTGTCATGATCGTGAGTACACACATTGATTCTCTACTGCAGCTGTAGTGACAATCGGAAAATCCCGTCAAACCTATTGTAGTGTTGTCAGAAACGATAGTATTGTACGCCAATAGTGAAAGGAAGTCAGAGGAATCAGAGGCCGGGCATGGAATAAAAACGTCGTATTGTATTGTGTGCACTTCGCCTATGACCACCGAAGGACGTCCACGCCAGTTGGACCAATAGAGATGTTAAAGCTACTTGTAGGCAGACATCGGAACGGATTTTTTTGTCTTTAAAAAATCATGCAGTTCGGCGTAAGGCTAGGGTGACTCCTGTCCGTGAACAACAGGTGCCACCTAGCGTCTACCCCCACAGCAGTGCCTGCCGTGACCTACCACTCTAGTTGACCTACCTCTCTCCTCCGCTTGTCGCTTATCGGAATCTCTCGCTCTCACAGCTCTGGAACCACGGGCGCGCCCAAGGGCATCTGCTGCCCCCACCGCGGGGCCGTCCACTCGTACCACCATCGCCTCGTCAACTTCCCCTACAGCGAGGGCGACAGGGAGGCCTGCCACGTCTTCTTCGTATGGGAGCTGCTGAGGCCACTCTTGGGCGGCATGGAGAGCGCCGGCGGTGTCGCGGTTCCGCTGTACGTGATACCGGACGATCACATTTACGACCCCCCCAGGTAAGCTCGTGTGCCATCATCTGGCCCGAACTGGCGTGGCGTAGAGTGGTGGCATGTGTGCGTGTGTGTGTGATTTGAATCGACCGCGCTCTGACCAATGAAAAGACGGCAGTCTCAGTGCAGCTGAAAACAGGAAATGCGTCGAAAGGTCCTGATCTGTGTGTAGTGTATGTGTATGTGTTGACGTTGCGATGATGGTGACGGTGTTACTGTCGGGAGTGTGACTACACGACAGCCTGAATTTCTTTTTTTTTGCTGTTAAGCTTTTCGCGCAGCGAGCGGCACGGCCCACGTGTTGAAACGCCTTGAAGCTGTCGGCGCTTAACAACGCCTGAGGCGGTGGGTTGTTTTATCCGCCCATCATACGTTTCGGATTGCGGTGGCGTGTGGTGCGGTAGGAGACGGCCGTAAAACAACCGCTTGGGTAACATTGCCTTCATGTGATGACGCGATGATGCAACTATGCATACCACCCTCATACTTCATATCCCTTGATTTCCGGATCAACCCATCGCCCGTGGCCATGTTTCTTGAATTTCCTTTTCCCGTGGGTTTCCGTGAGTCATGCCTCCCTCCTTTGGTGGATGAACCACGCAATGTCCAAACACACGTTGACGGCGTCTTGGACTTGAGCAGGCTGCTCAAGTACCTCGGAGAGAACAAGATCACTCGCATGCTCTTCACTCCGTCCCTCCTACAGCTAGTGCTTGACCAATGCGAGCCCCAGGACCTCAAGGAGTGCATGAAGACCATGCGCATCGTCTGGCTGTGCGGAGAGGTTGTCACGATCGAGCTGCGGTAAGCGCTGGGCGTTGCTAGGGTTCATTCGCGCTGGTCGCCGTCCTTAACTAGCGTGTCCCTGCCAAGCACTTCACATGGATTCTGGTTAGTTGGAGTTTGATAATTGCTGTTGCCCGAGTTTCCCGTACTTTTTCGGGGGGGGCGGGGGCGGTTGAGCCAAACTAGGGGGCACCGTCGATGAAGGATTCTCTCCCCCCCCCCCGGGTCTTGGCGGCTTGTTTCTCATGCGTGTCGTTCCTTCGCTGTCTTTCGGCGGGCTTGGCTTGAGTTTTTTCGGAATTAACGCTTGAGCAACAACGAGCCCAGCGATTCTCCAGGACCTCGCCTCCAGCACGCAGACACCGCACGGCATTGTCTTCGTATTTAAATCCTCTCCCGCTGCCTTATCTCCTCTTTGCTTCGTCTGTACAGCAACAAGTTCAAGGCTCTGCTCCCCGACTGCCACATGGAGAACCTCTACTCCATCAGCGAGTGCCATGACATCAGCTTCTGCAATCTCGACCAGGTTGACGTGAACGAGAGCCCCAAGTACGCTCCGTGCGGGAAGGTGGTGCCTAACGTGCGGGCCTACATCTTGGACGAACAGCTGCAGCATGTACGTCGTTGGGATCGTTGTCGTTGTTATCCCTGCTGCTGTTGCTGTTGTTTGTTCCTGTTGCTGTTGATGGTGTTGTTGCTGCTATTTTCCCGACACCTCGTTTGTGTTCGGCGGTCCATGAGCATGCACCTATCACCTATCATTTCCACATGACTCACGGCCCACATCCCCGTCGCCCGCCCCACCTAATGCGATTAAGGCATACCTCAAAGCATACACGCAGGTGGTGCAACAGAGTCTCCGTCGTATGTATATAGCCGTCCTCGCCCTTTCTTCCCTTCGAGCGACACCGTTTCCCCTTAACCCTAGCACTCCCTTTCTTACCTTACGGCCTCCTTCCCATCGTGAACCACGACCCCCTCGCATGACTCCTGGTTGATTTCGCCGCAGGTGCCGGTTGGCGTGCCAGGACGCATGTGGATAGCGGGTCCCACGTTGGCCATCGGGTACCTCAACATGCCCGAGAGGACCGCCGAGCGCTTCGTGCCCGACCCTTTCGCCGAGGCCGCGGGAAGGGAAGGGGAGCGTATGTACGACACCGGAGACAGGTGCCGATACCTGCCCAGCGGCAGCATCGAGGTTATCGGGCGCTGTGACTTCATGGTGAAGGTAAGGTCAGAGACGCCGCCAAGTTTGTGGTTTGTGGTTGTTGTTATTGTTGTTGTTGTTGCTGCTGCTGTTCCTGCCGTTGTTGCTGGTTTTGGGCTGACATGATGGCGGTACATACCTGTTTCTGAGTGTAAGGCCGAGGTAGCGCGATATATGCTTAGGTTGGATGCTTCGCGTAGAAGTATGTTTTGGTTTTCCTGCTGGTCTTTTTCCTTACTCGTGGTTTAGTTTTCTGGCCTGCTCACCTCACTGGCTTTTGGTTTGTCGGCGTAGTAGCCTTGTCTTTTGCTATTTAAATTAGGATTCATTGGCTTGTTCGTTGTCGTGTGCTTATGCTTATGGCGACAGCTGTGATTTGAGTTGTGCCCCCATGCAACCCATATAGACCGTGTTACGATGATTCCGGACGAGCGGGCGAGGCGTTTGCGATGGTGTGCGTACGTGTGTCTGTTCTATCTTAGCAGTATGACCAGGTGGCAAGTGTTCCACCTTGCGTGTGAGTGTGTCAGTACCATGCTAGATCTTGGGGCCACATCGATCTATTCCTCAAACCGGGCACCCTTCTTGCTCTCCCGAACGACGTTACGTGTCAAGGTACGCGGCTACTCGGTGGTTATCGGTGCCGTTGAAGCGGCCATCACGGAGCACCCGTTGGTGTCGACGGCGATCGTCATGACGGAAGGCGCAGAAGGTAGCATGGACAAGAAACTCGTGGCGTACATCGTGCCGGACAGCTGGGAGAAGGTGCGATAGCGGTGATCATGACGATTGTGATGGTGGTGGGCATGAGGTGGTACACGTGTTGCCCTCCCACCTTTGGGAGAAGGCCCCAACTCGAGGGTTATTGGGTCTGTAAAATTGGTGATCGGAAACAAGAGGTTTGTCACACCTTAATGGGTTCTTCAAGTATTTTCGATTTGCTTCTTATCCGTTCCCCTCCCGCCTTCTCACTTCCCTCCCCCCTTGCTCCCAGCACCCCAGTATTGCTGCCTCGTTTTCGCTGAAACGCCTGACGTCAAATGTCGGAGTACGATCCTCCGCCCAACCCTCGCTTACTCTGTTTGTTTTTCCGTTCTTGCATCCACCGATCTTCTGTAAAGTGTTTTTTTTCATTTCCATCATACTCTATCGAAAGTCTGTTGCTATCATAGTTTCATTCCTTGCAGCACTCACCGTCTCTGGTCTCTCGTGTCCCCGGTGTATTTCACTCATTCATTCATTCACTCATTGTCTTGTTCACGTGTTAACTATTTGACTTGTTGACACAACTTTTCGTTTCAATTCATTCAACCTCACGAGAGCAATGTCCGTCTTCGTGACGTTCTTGCAAGAGACCGCCATCCCGTGCTGCTTGACCCTTCGCACAGCGTACCCCCTCCTATGCACCCCAGTCATGTTCTCGTGTACCCTGCTCACGTCCTCGTGTACCTGCTGATGTTCTCACATACCCTTTGCATTCATGTTCTCACGTACACGGGTCGTGTGCCCGCCCCTGTTTACCCTACTCGGCGCTTCTGTTCCTATTTGGTCGTCCCCGTGGATGACATCGCTACCGCTATCGCTGTCGCTATCGCCATCGCTCACACATAATTGTGCAGCTCCCCTCTGCCAGCTCGATCAAGAGGTTCCTCAAGTCTCGACTGCCGCCGTACGCAGTGCCTCACGTGTGCATCCTCCTGGATGCGATCCCGATCAACATGGCCAGCGGAAAGGCCGACAAGAAGAAGCTCCCCAAGAGCGGCCACGCAGAGGTAAGTGTGGTAGATGGTAGACCAGCTAGACTGTAGATTGCTTCCTGTAAGTGGTGAGAATGAGAAGCGATTTTGGGGCGCCGGCGATCGGTGATTTGGGTGTTAAGTCTGCGTTGGCTTATTTCTTGTGCATGCATCTGGCGGGGGCAAACAGGAGAAACGCGACACATCGCACAGACCGTTAGAAATGTTTCCGTTAAATTGTTTTTTATGTTTTGTATTCACCAGCGGTATCTCGTTTGTTGGACTAACTTCTGTTGATCACTTTGTTTTTCTAGTGGGAGAAACGTTAGCGTTACGTTGCTGTCGTATTTGTTTTCTTCACTTGTTGTATGCTTGATTTCACTTTTCCAAGGGACACTTTGCACATGAAGGACAGGTGTAACTGCTACGGAACAGATGGATCACTCTCCCTCCCTCGCCTTCTCTCAAGCGCATAGACCCGCTTGCCTACAAAGCACATTCGTTTTTTTCGCCCCGCTGTAAGCCTGACGTTTCTTCATTAGTCAACCGGTTAGCAAAGTGTAGCTACTTTGAAGAACCCTCACATACACACGACGGTTAGCGAGCGATAGTTATTCGAGCACACATGCACACACACCTCATGCGCTCTTCCACTCTTCTCATGTATGCTCCTCTGTACTGTTGTGTGCCAATTCCATTCTCTTTGGTACCCCCTCCCCCCTCTACATCACGTGCTGGTGCTGGTGTTGCTCTCCCTCCATCTCTGTTTCTCTGTGCGCGCGTTTGTGTGAAGGTGCGATTCGCGCCCTACAGCTGTGCGCATGACGACCAGTACGCGGAGGATGGGGGCGATGCGGTCTTGCCCGCTGGGGACACCAAAGACCCGGTGCCAACCAAACCCAGCCCGAGCTCGCTGTTGATGGCGGAGGAGAAAGAGGAGCATGCGCCCGACGCGCCAGTACTGACGTCCACCCAGAGGTATGTGAATATGTTGAATCGACACAAAGGTGGCAAATTCCCCATTTCGAACCGCCTGTTGTAAGCATAGAGCAGCATGGGGCCAGGATCCCACAACAAACGTGTTCTACAGTAGGCCAAAATGGAACTGGTGTCCGTGGTGTGTGATTTCATCTTGCGACGCTCATCATTTCCATCTCTTCCTCTTGACTCGCATTGCCATCGAAGGTCGGTGGCCCGCCTGTGGGCGCGCCTCTTGAAGGTGGACGAAGCCACCATCACACCGTCCTCAGACTTCTTCGAGCTAGGGGGACACTCCCTCCTCCTCGCAAAGCTGTCTGCGGGGCTGCTCAAGGACATGGGGGCCGAAGTGTCGATCCCCGCCATCATAGAGAGCCCCACGCTGGGGGAGCTGTCGGAGAAGCTAGACTCGGAGATGACCGCGTCGAAGAAGATGGAAGAGGGCGGCGGAGGTGGCGGCGGGGATCGTGCGGCGGCGATCTTGTCCACGCCCGCGCTGAGGTAAGGCGGCACTTGCTTTGTGCTCGGTGTCTTCTTCTTGTATTGGGGCGTGTCCATTCATTGGAAACGAATACAGACGACCATCTCACCAGATAGGGCAGAAGACGCGCCCGGGGTAATGGCAGCAAACGCAGGTTTTAATATTGTTCCCATGGCGTCCTTGAAGCCCATGGCCTGCCTGTACTAGTGTAGCAGCTACATACGTCCCTCCTGTTCGGCACGTGCGAAGGACACACGTGAACGGACAAGGGACGTAGGTCCCGGTGTGCCTTGGCTTCTTCTACTCTCCTTCCAACTTAGGATGTTGTTCCGGACTGGTGGCGCAGGGCGGTCGGCAAGGCCTGGGCCAGCGTCCTGGAGGCCGGGTGCGAGTCCTCCTTCTCCCCTAAGGCAGACTTCTTCGATCTCGGCGGCCACTCCCTCCTGCTGGCCAAGCTCGCCACCGCCCTCTCCCGCGAGGCAGGGTTGACCGTCACCATCCCGCAGCTCATCGAACGGCCCTCCATGGAGGGGATGGCCAAGATCGTCGAGGAGCTATCAGGAACGATCCCGGGAACGCCGTCCATCGTACCGGGGCTGCAGGCGGCCGGTATCTCCAATTCACAAGATATTGCTCCGGTGGTGCTTCACGACGGCTCTCGCGGGGTGGTGCAGGCTGTCGAGGGGGTTGAGGCGCCCACAGCTACGGCGGCCGCGGTCAAGGTGGTTGATCTTGAGGCCGAGGCTAGGAGGCTGGACGCGAGCATCTACCCCGCCGGGACGCGCAAGATCGGGTAAGGGTAACGCGTGAGGAGGATGGCAACAGGGCGAACGCCTCAGGAATAGGTCAACATCAGAGCCGTGAATCGACTTGTATCTTTACGAGGTGTAGTCAGTATGGGTTAGACTGTATCAAATGTTACTCAAAAATGAGCAAGTGTAGTGGGAAATGAGGCCGCCTCTATGAGGTATTCATTGTTTGAGCGATGGCCAGCATATTTTATTTCTCTTTTCTCTGTTCTCGGTTGTGAGAGAGAAAAACGTTAATTTTATCTCTTCAGGGATGTGGCGTATTTGCGTTTCTGAGCTTTTTCAGTCGCCTCTGGATAACCCCATTACTGGATGCATTAGCCAGACGTCACTTCAGACACAACATTCACAATTCATCCATGTTTATTGTCTGCGACCATTGCCTGATGCAAACGAAACTAAACCAAGCCAAACTAAACCAAACCAAACCAAACCAAACCAAACCACCAACCGAGATTGACGATGACCCGTCCCAATTGTACTGAACTGACGTGTGGGGCAGTCCTCCTCGACGGCCTCCTCGACGGCCACAAACGGACGTATCGCATGCCTTCGCACCTCTTAGTTCGGCGAGCTCTCTCTAGGAGCCCTTTCTCCTCACACTATTCGCACCGCTGGGACCCACACACGCTGCTTCTTCCACCCAATTCTGTCCTGTCTCTCAGACTGGTACGGCTCTTTCTGTTCTTTGCTCCTGCGAATTACAGCAACCGATTTTAACTCGCCTATTCTTCAACGCGCTACTGGCGTGTCTGGAAACGCCTGATGGGTGCATTGTGCTGATGCGTGATGCATGATGGATGATGGATGATGGATATGACAGGTATTCGCGTTTCCGAGCCTCGAGGTCTTCTCGGCCTCCCCAGCGAGTCCTCCTCACCGGAGCCACCGGTTTCCTGGGGGTGCACATCCTGGCGTCTCTGCTCAGGGACACCCACGTGGACGTGTTCTGTCTGGTCAGGGCCGGAAACGAGGAGGAAGCCCTTCAACGCGTCGAGGACGCCCTCACCATGTGAGGAACTAGTGAATTTTATGGTGTCGGTTGTTTTCATTCACAGTGCGTGTTGTGTGCGGTGCGTGTAAAGTTACATTGCATGCTTTCTGCTGTTGAGAGGTGTTTTTTGCAGGGGCGATGATGCGGTATTTGCCGCTGACCCATGCTCGTGTCATGGCATAGCCGCGACGGGTCGAGTTCGAATTTCTGCGAGGCACGACTAGATGTTCAAGCGCGTCTGGGTTGACGCTTAGAAAGAGTTGTGAGTGGCTAGTTGGGAACAGACAATCTAGAGGTGATGAAAGGGACGGAGGAACGAGTACCCGCATGACGTTGAGACACGTGCCGTACGCCTCGCCTTTTGGCGGTACAATTTGTTCGTTCTTCGTGGTGACGTGTCCCACTGCTGCTGGTGCTGATGTTATTCCTATCTACTTCGAATAGTTCTCAATACTTCGCACACTTGATGAGGAAGAGGAGGATGATGATGCACCTGCCGTCACATTTGAAACTTGCGAAACACCCTTCTCACCTCTTTGCAGTTCCTCTTAATCGACTCTCTTATGCATAGGAACGCATTTCGTTGACCACAAATTGTATGCCGCAAAATGGAAGCCTGGTACTGCATTGACCAACTCACGATGTCATATTCCCAAGACTTACTTCTTTGTTTGCGTGTTTTCATGGCCTGGCCTCCATCAGGTACAAGCTGGACAACGAGGCGGTGTTGTCGGGAATGGACAGGGTCATGGCTGTCCCGGGGGACTTGTCCAGACCGCTGCTTGGGCTCGACGACATATCCTTCAAGGCAAGCGAAGAAACACACCACAATGTGTTGATAGTTGAGACCGTTCTAGCCTGCAAGATGCATCGCATGCACAAGTATACTGGCTTGAGTGCGTAAATGATGTGGCCAATGCTTCTGTCAACGGTAAGGCCCCTGTAGGGGTCGGACGAACGCTGGTTTCGGTGCACGATATCAACCAAGTTTAGCTGTTAGGTGCACGTGCATTCCTCGTCGATTTGACACGCTCTTTCGATACCCTGTACCAAGAACGGCAGTGACCAAAGCTCGCGCTAGTCCAATCTCTTCATTGTGCTGGACTAAGCCAGTGTTGTGCGTGAATACTGGGTCTTTTTAGCGCACCGCCTCTAGCATAGCCCATATTTTGGGCTGCTCCGACCCAACCCTAACAACCCTAAGCTGCGGCAACACTAACCAATGATATTCAATGATATTCAATGATATTCAATGATATTCAATGATATTACCATCAACAGATGCTCGCCGGCGAGCTGGACTCCATCATCCACAGCGGAGCATCGGTCAACCTCGTCCGTTCGTACCAGTCGCTAAAGGCCGTTAACGTGCTTGGCACCCAGGTACCCATCTCCACCATCCATCTATTGCTGCCGTGTTGAGCTGGCGCCCTCCGCTGTACATGTAATGTTGACAAAGCTGCTATTGGATTGTCACGCGCGCGCAGTGATCAGGCATCGGGCTACACGGTTAGGGTTAGGGTTGGTATATACATGGTGACATTGACGTGTCCTGTATTTTGCACTTGGCTTTGTTGCAGTGGTTGGTTGTCCTATCCCTATTGTACTAGAGAGCTATCGTGCCGTACTGCAACTCTCGGCACACCCGGCACCGTAGGCGACATAAGATACCATACCCCCGACCGATTTCAAGGCTGGACTACTCCACGGCGAAGAGGATGTATCCGTCAAACGATATGTTTTCGGAAAGCTCTCTGTCGACGACGCCATCCTTTTATGGCACTGCCACTCTTTCTGCTGTGGAGTATTCGAGCTTTGACGACCAGTCCAGGGGCGTTGGGGTATCTTGTGTTACCTACGAACGATAGTTCTAAGGAGGAAACATGAGTGGTTTTGAGGAACAACGCGGTGGGTTGCGCTTCGAACAACGCAACAAGACAAGGTGCGGTCAAGCTCAGCTCCACCAACAGTAACTAAATCCCACGTTTGTTTGCTGCCCCAATCGTGTCGGTGTCAATGTCAATGTCAATGTCGGTGTCGATGTCGGTATGGATGTCTTTGGAGTGAATCTGTCATGTCCTGTGTCTCCAAGGCCGGCACGACATCAAGGACGCTCGCTCCTCTTGCTTAAACTTTTCTTCGCATCCTGACGAGGCTCTGTTGGTTTTTCTCTCTCTGTTTTCGTTTTTTTTGTTCCTTTTTGCTTTTTGCTGTGTTGCGGAGAACAGGAGGTGTTGCGCTTGGCGGTTACGAACGCCTTCGGCACACGCATGAAGCCTGTTCACTTCGTCTCCACGAATGGTGTCTTCCCCTTCTCTTCCGGTACGGTATAGAAGAAACGAGCGATAATATAGGATAGGGTAGGAGAGGATAGGATGAGGATTTCTTCCAACCGTAACGCATATGTTGCTGTTGTTGATCTTGTTGCTACTATTCCGTGGTTGCTGCTGAGGTTCTTCCTACGGCTGCTTCCGCTTTTTTGTGACGTTTGTTTGTTGTTGCCGTCGTCATTTGTTTTTGTGTTGCGATTTTGGTTGCAGTGGTGTTTACTGCTGTCGTACATGGCTGCTACCATTGACGCCCACTACCCCCCGTCGCCTTTTTTAAACCGTACGCACGTTCACGTTGCGTGAAGAGACGAAGACGTTCATGGAAGACGCCGACATGAGCGAACAGTGGAAAGAGCTGAGCGACGGCTACGGGCAGAGCAAGTGGGTAGCGGAGCAGATGTGCGTGCAAGCAAGGTCAAGGGGACTCCCCGTAAGCATCTTGAGGCCTGGGAACATGTCCCCCTCTGCGACAACAGGGGCGTGGAACCCTTCGGACTTCATCTACATGCTGCTCCAGGTGTGTTGTTGTTGTTGTTGTTGTTGTTGATGGTAGTGGTGCTGCCACCGCTGATTCTTGTTGCTGGTGCTGGTGCTGGTGCTGGTGCTGATTGTGGTAGTTTTGCTACTGTCTTGCTATTGATGTTGCACATGCGTTGTTGTTGTTGTTGTTGTTGTTGTTGTTGTCGTTGTTGTTGCTTTTGCAGGTGTGTTGTTGCTGTTGTTGCTGTTGTTGCTGATGACTCTTGTGTGCTCACACGAAATAATGGCTTATCTGCCTCTTGCTGCACTCTTCTTTCTTTCGACGAACCCGTTATCTAAAAACAGGCGATTGCGGAAGACGCCGTTATCGAATATTCCGGAGTTTCAACCCATGGTCAAATGGTTCTAGAATTCTTGCACCTGTTCATGGCTGTTGCAATGTTCGCAGTCCGGTCAGGACATGGACTTGAGTTGGTGGCCGGTACCATGGCATGTACCATGTGCATGTACCGTGTGCGTGTACCGTGGTGTCGGTGCATTGTGTCGTGTCGTCTCAAGTTGCTGCTTGCGGGTACTATAGACATCGACTACAGGTGCACACGGCATGTTCGTGACGTCTTTTGTTTGTGACTTCTCTTGCATCATCTTTTGCCATCGAAGTACATGCGACCGCTACAATAGCTCGTACTCGTGCTGAGGAGATGTTATTCTCGTGGGGCGTGTGGCCGTACTGTTTTTTTTCAATTCACCCCCGGCGATGAAGCCAAACCCACTCGTTCGCCCCTGGCTGCTGTGTCCCTCGCCTCAACCCTTGCCGTTGTTGTGATTGCCGGGGGTGCTATCATTTGGTGTTGATTCGTTTGTTGTTGTCAATGTCGCGCTTTGGTCGGCAACAGGGCTGTCTCGACCTGGGCTGCGTACCGGACGGGGTTGCCTGGCAAATTGACGTCACCCCCGTGGACTTCGCCGCTCGGGCCATCGTGCACGTGGCCGTCGATCGGCCAAGCAAGGGACTTGGACATGTGAGTTTTTGGTTTTTCATATGTGTTCCTGTTCCGCGTCTAGACGAAGTTATTTTTTTGGCATGGTGCAAGGCGGCACTGAGACAGCGAGGGACCGGGAAGAGGACGACGTTTTTTTTTTCTACATGTGATCACTTGGTTGCAAGGTGAGGGTGTAGGCTGACTGCGGTCTGGAGAAGCTTGGGTGAAAATTTGGTGATGACGACAGAGGTGACGGCGAAGGCGACTCATTTTTCATCCAGATTAGTCACACAAAACTAGATTGACGATACTTGCCCTGCATGGTGTGCATTCACCGGTGGTGTTTGTTCTCGAAATGATGCCGTCACCTCTACGTGGAATCGTCCACGAAGTACTGTCCGATGCACGTGGTTTCGATCGATGGCGACGCGAATGGCATGCTTTATCCCTTACAAGTTGAGTGCGGTGGAGGTGGCCTTTTAAATGGGTTCCATCCCCCCAACCTCTGTCAAGGAGACGATTAGCTACGTATTTTCACACTGGCGACGACCAAGACATGCATTTTCGACCAATCAAATCGCGTGCTTTTTCTGCAGGTTGATGTTTTGACGGTCCGTTTCCCCCCCCTCTAGCAATCAACCTGCCCAGTGCAGATGGTCGGGCAAAGTGGGGCGTGAATTTAGCTTGACTGATCGCGAGTTTGTTAGTTGGACACCACCAGAAGGATCCATCGTCTGTAGGACAGAATCGACGCGGCGGGATCCCTCGCTGCCTTGGCTGCTTTCTTTGCTTGGGGGACGATCACTGATTCAAGAGGGCCGAGGACTGTGTAGGAAGGGCTCTTTCGAAAGGGACGCCTGTGGGATGTGATCGTCAAAATCGTCAATCCAATCTTGTCTTCGTTCTAGAACCTGGCCTGCTTTTCAGATGGTCGATTATGGGCTCCCGCTTGAGCTGATTTATTGTCCCAAGCTTGGATCTTGGAAGTACCACTCCCGCATATGATGTTGAAACGAGCAACTGCCCCCCCCCCCCACACACACGTGGGCGTGCCTAACCCCCAAGGTGCTGCACATCCAAAATCCCGGGAAGCCGCAGACGTTTGAGAACGTGGCCGCCTGGCTCAAGGCGGCTACGGGGGCACAGCTCGAAGGCGTTTCGATGGACGAGTTCCGGCGACGGCTGGGCAAGGCGGTCGAGGAGATGGGGCCGAAGGACGGCGGCGTCCTGGCTCAGGTACAGTGCAGTGCAGTGCAGTGCTGTGCAGTGCAGTACGAACACATTCGTTCGTTTGTTTTCATACGTGGCCCGCCCCAATGACGGAGATACAGCTCATGGAGCCAGCCCCCCCCCAAAAGTATGATGCCATATATATGAGAGGAGTGCTTTGCATGGCTGTTTCTGTTCGTGGTCCACCTGTACCTCTCTCCCTTTCAGTGCACCGAGATTCCTCGTTGTTTGCTCCTTTGGTCTCGGTTGCTTGATTTATTTCGGCTCGTGCCACTGATTGCCGCCCTGGATGTGCTGTCAAGTCTTGTTGCACACACTCTCGCGCTTGGAGAATAAGGCATGGTTCATCTTCTGAGCACCAGGCCAATCATCATCGATTCACAAAATCACATCGAATCATCGAACTGCTTAAACGAATGTACTTTCTTCTGGATGCGCGTTGGCAGTTGCCCTCTCTGCTCCCCCTTCTGTCTCTCAGTCTCTCTGCCTGCCTGGCTTCCTGCCCATCCCGTGCCTCCCTCTTGATCCACCTCGCCACCTGTGTGCACTACACTACCCAAGTAACCACTTCCTGTGTGAGGGTTGTGTTTCTGACCCACACCTACCTCTCAACTCTTGCCAATCCCAACCGCCACTGACGCCCGCTGCGGCGCATGCGCTCCTGCTGCTGCTGCTGCTGGCTCAGCTGGAGTCGGGTCTGGACGGGTTCGCTTACTACCTCGCCGACCCGGCCATGCTGGACTGCGCTGGGCTCACGGCGGCGCTGGAGGAATCGGGCATCGACTGTCCTTCGCTAGACAAGGACCTCGTCAGTATCTACGCCTCCACTCTTGCCGCGGGAAGAGAGTAGACAGAGTACGCGGCACACCCCGCCACTCTAGAGCTCAGTACCTCAGAACGACAAGAAAGTTTTTAACAGGCCGTGAGAACCTACCCATTGGGCCGTGGGCACTTGAAGCCGATCTCATACTAAAACATGTAGTCTATCCCAACATACGTAAACAGTGTACAAGGAGTGAGCTGCGCCCGAAAACCAACTCGGTCTAGTGGGGACTTATTGCGTAACCGTCGTGCCAAGAAGAGTGCCTATCTCCACGGCCGTCTTGAGAATGGCGAGGACAACGATACACCTCGAAACACCTTGACTTTTGACCCCTCTCCGGAGTGAAGGTGAAGGTGCTAGGTGATGTCAATTCCTTCTTGGAAAGGTTTGTGTTTTCGTTTTTAACCTGCGGAGGGCGTGCTTGGGACAATCGTGTTCTGTCACAGCCAGTCGCTTCACTTTGCTGGTTGGTTGTTTGTCATCCCGACAACAACCACGAGATGCACGAACGGTGCCAATTTCCTTTGCAGGAAGGAAAGATCACTGTTTCAAGATACTTGTCCTTGCTTCGGCCGTTTGTGTTGAGGCGTGAATGTTGTCCCCATTCAGCCTTGGTGCTGTCCATTAAGTCTCGTGGCGCCTCTTGAGTCTTGGAACGTGCTGCTGTGGTCTGACTGTTTTCCCCGTTGGAAGCCATAGCTGCTCCAGGCGGGGTCGTGCGTGTTTCCGTCTCTTGATTTTTTTTTTATTGTTCGAATGTGACTCGATCGAAGGGAATGATGTCCGGAGGCTGGTTGCTGGAAGTGAGCAAAGAAAGACGGACATGCATTTTCAACCTGCACAGGAAAGCCATGCCAACAGAGTCCAGTTGCCAAGGGCGGGAGGATTGCACAGTCGGTTTACCGTACCCGAAATACGGGTAGTGGCCGCTGTGAAACGGTGATTCGGGGGACTTCCATTGTTGAATCCTCGGAATCTACTATTAGAGGGGTTGGGGAGGGCTGGTTAAATACCTGTCGCTAGGAACACATGTAGAGTACTGTCTCCCTTGTTGCGACAACACGCCAGGTAGGTAGTGATCACGGTAGCGCTGTGTCGTGTAGTGGAGTAGTGCGGGGATTTCTGCCTTTCTGGCACTTGCAACCTCCTGCGCCACTTGTAGCTACTGTTGTGTTTCGTGTGTGTCTACACGTCAGCAAGTGCGTTCATTTCATCATGCGTCTCTTTGGAACACAAAAAGAAGAAAAATCACAGGTCAGAAGGGCGACGAGCGTGTTGGAGCAGGAGAATAGGGCGTTTCCGGATGCCCGTGTGCTCTCAGCCTAGATATCATGTTGGGTTCACGTGTTCGTGTCTGGTGCAGGAGGTTACGACCAAGTGCGTGAGGCAAACGCGGTGCGGGTGTGATGCGCAGTCTTGAGAATTGACGTGCGGGTGTGGGTAGGATCACAAGTATGTTGCGCTGCATGCCTTGGAATCTGGACAACAAATATTTCAAGTTGCCTGTGTGAGTTGCCTGTGTGTGAAACAGTTCGTGGTGCATTCTTCAATTTCTGTTTTGGCACGAGCCGAGCCGAACCCCCTCAACGGGCTTGTGTGTGCATATGCGGATGCAACTAATCACACCAAGTTTTTCTCCTCGGCGCGAACCCGCCGAGTGGCCGACACCCTACTACTCAACACACGTCTTGCCACAAACTACCCCCAGTTCGGATTGTCCTAACATGGCGTTGCTCCAAGTAGTAGATATCGGAGATGGTATTCAACATGATCAAACTCTTACTCCGACTGTAGCCGACCCCGAATCACTTTGCTTTTTTAGAGATACTCCGGAGTACTAAATATCTACATCACACCTGAGCACCTGAGCGACCTGGACGAGGTAGAGACTGGCCTATTTTTCGTGCAAAATGAATGGTTGTCTGTCTGAGAAGCGCAAAAGTTGTAACATTAAATGGCTGTGGAAGTAAGTTTGCTGACGCAAGAAATATTGGTTAACCCATCCGGCTGCACCACATCAGCAACTGACTTCGGGTCGTTGTCGATCAATTGTTGTCCCATGTTTTTGCAGTTTCGTGCCACTAGTAGAGCGAGTGTGACTACAAGCACGCATGCAACTTCCACACACACCACCCCCGCGCTGAGCCAGCCCAACCCCAGAAAAAATTCCACGCATAGTCTAGGGCAGATCAGATCGCCATAGATCGCCATAGATCATTTCGGTCGCAGATCACCAAAATCTACAGCTACAGACAGATCGATCTGTACATGTTTTTTTTCTTGATCTATACACAGATTGACCCGAACATATCTGCCGCTCTTGACCTAAAAATCCATAGATCATCTGTGGTATTTCCGACTCTTTATCTGTAGATATATACAGATTGATCCGAACATGCATATCTGCCGCTCTTGATCTATAAACCATAGATCATCGATGATACCTACCTGCGTGCTCTAGATCTAACTCTACAGATGATCATCTATGATACCTTCCAACGCTTGATCTACAGACCACAGAGATCATCTTCTATCCGACGTGTGAAAATTCTCCACCTACCCTGCCCGTGTTGACAGCGGCTTGATTGACTAGACTATTGGTTAACCCATCCGGCTGCACTATTTACAGCAGCTGACTTCGGGTCGTTGTTGATCTATTGTTGTCCCGCGTTGTTGCAGTTTCTTGCCACAAGTAGAGCGAGTGTGACTACAAGCACGCATACAACTTCCACACACACCACCCCCGCGCTGAGCCAGCCCAACCCCAGAAAAAATTCTCCACCTACCCTGCCCGTGTTGACAGCGGCTTGATTGACTCGGCAGCCTATAACGTAGGGCAGCAGTGGCACAAGCGTGGAGGAGCGACACAGTAACAAATCACCGTCGATAGGGAGAGGTGAGAATGTCCGATTAGTTAGGCTAATCATATATTATTCATTATCTTTAGTCCCAAAGTCTAGTTGGTTTTGGTCCCAAAGTATCGTTGGAATTCACAAGGGCGCAGACGATTAAGGCGGAAACCCGGACGTACTATGTGGAAGGGCGCTGCGCGGCGTACGGCTCCGCGGTCGCCCCTTGCGCTCGTAGGCTGTACTGCGATGTTGAGTGTGAGCGGGTTGAGTTTTGAGATGAGAGGAACAAATTGTGCGAGAAGTGGTGCTTATTTTGTCGAAGAGCGGAGACACACAATCAATTAATCAAATGCTGCGACGGCCGGAGAACAGAGAGTCGAACAAGAATATTTGGCTAGAAACAACACCTTAGCAAGCACAACGTCTACTTTATTGTACAGAGATTAGTCTATGCACCAAAAGTACGTGCCGGGCGGTTGAAACTACATCATCATTACAAAACGTCCTTGTCACTGCAAAGCAGTTGAAGAGATCCTCCGTCGGTATCATTTCGTTGGGTCGGTACTTTCTCTCTGCCCGACGTGCGCCGGGTGGGTGTGTAAGAAATATGGCGGGCGCGTTAGACTCGCCTTGCTCTTTTCAAACCATCCGTCAGGGTTGCTACCGAGTACCACATGCATGCCTCTACACTCACACGGCTTGATATATTCCTATTCAGTTCCTCCAAGCCTCACTTGCGTCGTTACGAACGCGGCTTGGTACTCAACAGTATCAGTTCCTTTTTCAGAAAGTATCAAAGCATCCGTCAGGGTATATACCGAGTATGACACGCCTTGGTGCATGCACGAACACTGATTCACACTATCAGTTCCTTCCAACCTCAGTATCAAGCCAGCATGCCTTGTTTCAGACCGCTTCACTCATTGTTCGTTCCTTTCGATCACCTCACGATGAAACCAACAATTTTTCCTGATCGTGATTCTTGGTATCAAACCAACCATTTCGCGCAGTGCCACCCACCCGGCCCGGCGTTTCGGGTCATTTGATTGTGATAGCAACTCGACGAGTATCGTCGCGTTGCCTGTCTGAAGCTTTCCCGTTTTTTAGCCGTTCATAAAGTCGAGGGCGCACACCGCGACACGCTCGCCCACCGAGCACGACAAAGAGTTCTATACACGGAGTAGATGACATGAGATATCACACACCCAGAACAATGTGAAATTTTCAAAGCACCATTACTCCACAGCAGAAAACGTGGCCGGGCGGCGTTGGCACCGATAGCTTTGCGACACAATCCTATCGTTTGACATCCTCGTCGTCGTGGACTAACATTATTAGCTGTTAATATTGATGATGCGATATATTATGCTATGCTGGTACATGCCATCCATGCATAAGAACAACGAGCACCCTCCATACTCCAGTAAGTTACTGTAGTAGTTGAAATGAAACCTCTCATTACCCATCCATCCATCCATCCATCCATCCATGAAGAAGTCGTTTTATACGCAAATAGTTGAAAAAAAAAGGTGCTGCAAAAACTATCCATGGACGAACCCAGCAGTGCCGCCGTTGTTGTTGTCTTCACAGTTAATTACAAAAACCGTTCGTTCTGTTGTTCTCTCTACCCAGTACCTTCTTGTACCTTCTTCGTCTGTTCGTACTATTATGTATGATAGTCTGAAACTGAATAACTTGAAGCGGTCGATTCCCGCCGTGGTCATAGGCTAACTCACCCAAAAACGTTATACGAAAAACAAAATGGACCCGAAGATGGGTCCGCAAGTCAACGACAGATTAGTCTAGGACCCTCCGCTCGCTTCAATACGCTATGCGAGGTAGTAACTATAGACTGGACAGTTTGAAGCAAAAAATGAGCAAACGAATATTAGAGGCGACCTCACTCGCACCCGAAAAAACGTCAATCTTCGACCGGCATATCTCACTACGCCCATCCATGCGCATGCACTTATTTGGGCGAGGGACTCTATACTTTCACGAATCACCTCGTTGATCTGTTTTTTTCGTTTACATCCATACATGTAGTGTGCACGTCACACCCGAATGAAAAGAAGACCACACCCAGAACGCGCTCTTCCGCACGCTGGGAAAGAATCCATCAGTATTTTCCGGAGAAAAATTGACTGAAAATAGAAAATAGAGAAATTCGAGAAAGATTCCAATAATCGTTGGGTGGGCGGGTGGTGTCTCAAAAAGGAGACGACTCTCCTTTCCTCTGTTTTCCTGTCTTGCACAGGTTTGACAAAAGGAAGTGAGAGTGTGTTCTTCCTCCTCCTTTGTTCTGGATCTTTACGTCTGGAGAATTCTTAAATCGTGCCTCTTTCTTCATTTCCTGTTTTGAGAATCCATCAGTATTTTCGAGTCAGTTCTTCTCCTCAGATAGTATGGGATGCAAACAGTGGCATCACCTCCCGCGGTCGGTGTATCCACTTCTCTCCCTCACTTAGGAAACTCACTCGAACGAGATGAGTTTCTCATCCCATACTTTACTGATAGAAAACAGATGAATGTGGAGGCATTGAGAGACCATGGCTGAAATAAGACCATTTAAATTAACAAACGAGACCACCTATAGCAAAGGCTTATTGCTAAACGCTGACAACGATCGGCTCTGTTCACTCAAACCGAACTCATTCAACTGCCTGTATTGTTCCGCTGAAACTCCCTCGACCATGGCGGTACCCTCGGATCCTGGAGCCACTACTTCCATGAGTCGCATGTATCGCCAAGCAGTCTTTGGACTTTTCCAATACGCCTTCTGCATGATTGTCGATAGAGAATCTCCTGCGAGGGCTCTGGAAACCGCCCCTCCTGACCTAAAGGAGTGTAGAGAGAACCCTTGGGTCTCTCCTACTGCCGCGGCGTATCTCTTTAGTGCTTCAGACATCCTGCTAGTAGCCACCGGCAACTTGCCTCTCTGCGCTTCACCTTGCATAGACTCCGAAATGTCTGGGAAAAGGTAACCTGAAGTTGTGTCCCATCCGACCTGCTTCCCCACGGCTATAAACCTCTCTACCGCTCGAACTGGGCAGATTGCCACGTATTCCTCATCATACGGTACGGTCAGGATATGATCCGCTCCATCCCGTTGGGTTTTTCCCCACTGAAAATTGCACATGAGACCGCTTCTATTTGGGAGTCGCAAAATACGTTGGATGAGGATATTTGTGAGCTCCACTCCTCTCTTGGGTGTGCTAAAAGCCACCGAAAAGAACGCAATGTCCCTAGCCAACGTAACCCGTTCGACGTCGGATGAGGCGTATTGAAGCCTGATCTGCATTGGAAAAATAATCTTCTCCAGATGGCTTCGAAGAATGACCGGTGCTTGTTTCACCAATACTCCCGCCTGCTTTTGCTCACTTGTGGTGAACGCCATATATTGCG